CCAGGCCTAGCTGGCTGCACTGGCCTGGGCCCTGGGCCTCCAGGACTCTTCCCTTAGGGAAGGAACCTATGTGAGTAGAAGGCCAAGGACCCACACCGAAGGTCCCCCACAGCTTCAGGGTCTTCACCCCACACCTCATGGAGGGCACTGGCATCTTTGGGGCAGCTGAAGGCTGCTTAAGCCCTAGTGTCACTTGAACCCAAGTGACACAAGAAAGTTCATCGGTCTCCTGGGCCCAGGCCAGCTGCCCACACCCAGAAGGGGCTCCACACCAGGACCAGGATCTGAGGCAGGAAGGAGCTAGAAGGGCAGGGATTCAGGCTGTGGTGGGCAGATAGCTGGATGGCCAGGCAGTGGCCAGGCTCAGCAAAGGGACCCCCGCGGGTGGCTACCTCACTGCACCCTGCCCACCTGGGGCACAGCAAATGGCACCCCTCCCTCCTGACACTCCCCTTCCCCAGGACACAGCCCAGTGGCCACTTTCCCTGATACCCCTGTGTCCCATCTCCCACCCAGGGTTCTTGCTGTCCTGGCCAGGCCCTTCTCCGGCTCCTCTGAGCCAGGGGCAGCCCCTCCCTCAGAGCCTCCGGAGCCCAAAGACTAGGAAGGGTTAACGCTCTTTGTTATCTCTCCTTTTAATCCTCAGATGGGCCAGCGGCTCACGTTGTTCAGAACTGGTAGAGAGAAAGCGTTAACTATTATCTGCTTCTAGCTGACCATCTGCTGTTGCAGAAAATTCAAAACCCTGGAGATCTACTTATATCCACATCGTAAACGAGAAAAGATGTTTTAATTAAGGGAAATCAGGTTAACTTAGCTCTAATTTACAAGCCGCCTGCCTAATGAATTGTCTGGGCTGCTCTCTCTTTGTAGAGAGTAAATCTGAGGATCCTTTCCCTCCGCAGTTCAGACACTAATTAACTAACCAAGAATTTTAGTAGCACACCCGCCTGTCGCCTAATAGTTTTACCTAAAGCCAGCCCGGTCATTGCTTGTACAAATTGCCAATTAAATGTGATTGATATAATGAAATTGGATTGTATTTTCACTTGCCTTCTTCCCTTCGCCCTCATTCTGCATCATCTTGCCCCTCTGTCAAGGACCGAGGGCACACATGCACCCCATCACAACAAAGCTAAACAGACTGGCCCCCCAGCTCGGCCCATCCCGGCTCCCAGTGGCGCCAGCGCCAGGGCTGTGCAAGTTCCTGTTAAACCAACATTTCTATTAGTTGAAGTTAACAGGCATAATCTTGTTTCCAGATATTTATCCACGTACCGAGGGCTGTAGTTACATGTTTGAAGTTAGGGGGGGAAAGTGAAAGATCTGAGCAGCCATTCTAAAAATACATTAACAGTTTCCAAAATCTATATCGCTGCTTAATTAAATATGTTATCCTGTTTATAGGATCTGTGGCTAATTATTTAGAGTCATTTAATCTACTCAATTTGCACGTTAATTAAGCAGCCTCGGTTTGCAGAGCGCGGCCGGCGGCTGGGAGGGAGGCAGCGCCGCCTGGCGGGCGTCCCCGCTCGGCCGGCGCTCGGCTCGCAGGCCGCGGACCGGTGCCTGCGCCGCCGGACTGAGCCGCCGTGCCGGCGACGGCGCGGCCGCGGGGAGGGGCTGCGCCGCCCCGGGGCAGCGCTCCCCGGCCGTGCTGCAGGGCGGTGGGGGTCGCCCGGCCCGGCCGATCAGGACTCAGCCGCGCGGTTATTTGCGGGGAGGGGGATGCATCCGCCCACTCATCCCTCCCTCTCTCCGTCCCTCCGCCGGCGCGGGGAAGGGTGGCGCCGAGCCCGGTGGCAAGGTGGCGGGTGGGACAGGCCCCGGGTTGGGGAGGGGCGTGGGGCGGCGCCGGCCGGCCGGGCTGACTGGAAAACGACGGAGCCGCGCCCCGCCCCCGCCCCGCCGCGTAATCGTTTTCGCTCGCCCGTCCCCATCTGTCCCTCTCCGCCCGTGTGTGTTTTGGCCTTTGTCTCGCTGCCCTGTACTGACACCGTCTTTCAGAGACCACTTCTGTCGCCCTTCACCGATCTCTTCTGCCCCATTAGCCCATCGGCACGAGGCTCCGAGGCTCCGGCAACAAAGCCCCGAGACGGGACCGGCGCGCGAGCCTCTCCACTGTGCGCCGCTGACCCCGCGGCCGCGGCCCGCGCCGCTCGGCCCGGCGGCCCGACGGGGCGGGACGGGATCGGCCGTGACGATAAACAGAGGAAGCCGTCGTGTCCGAGCCGATTCCGCCCCAAGTCAACAGGGGAACAGGGCCCACGCCGCCCTTGGCAGGGCCGCAGAGCAGCTGCCGCCGCGCGAAGGCCGCCCGCCGGGCAGGAGCTAATCCGCCCGCAGTCCCCCTCTGTCCCCCCGGACGTGAAGCTGGCAAGCAGAGAGAAAGCGGGCTGGGAGGAGAGAGGCAGACCTGCCTCGTGGCCGGTAAACAAAGACCAATAACCTGTTACCGGCGGGGGCTGCCTCTCCTCCCGATTCCATTTTCCTCCCGGAGAGAGGAACCCCAGCCGGCTCGCTCTCCTAGGAGCACATCCACTCTTCTGCGGGTGCTGGCCGCGGCGGGCAGACCTCCCAGCCAGGCCTGCTGCAGAGGCCTTCCTGCACACCATCCCCAGCCCAGGAGGAGGTTCCCAAAATGAGGAGGCACCTCGTTTTCTCCTCTGCCCAGCAGACTTCCGGGAGGCCAAGACCTTGTGAACCCACTGCCCTCAGGAAATGCTGCCTATGCTTCCACACCCTGTGGGGCTGCTTGCTGCTCACTGAAGTTGCAGGGCATTCCCTGGAACTTGCAGCTCTTAGATGGGGGCTGGCGCAGGTACCTGTGGAGGGAAGACCCCCTTGCCACTTGCGTCTCCACAGCTGTGGTCTGTCTTCATTACTCGGGAGCAACTCCCTCCCAGGAATGCTTTATTTTGACCAGTGTGGCAGGAAGAAGGGTGACCATTGCTCAAGGGTTTTCCACACAGGCTACCAGAGGGTCACCTTTCTCTACAACGGGAACTCCAGTGAAAGCAGGAGGCTGGGGCCCCTCAGTGCTAAGGTGCACACACACGATCAGTGTGGCCCTGATGCCAGTCTCCTGGAAACTTCCCTCTTACTTCCCCTGGAACCCACCTGCTCTTACTTTCTATCTTACAAATGTTGATCCTGTGGCCAGGCGATGGCCTCTTGCAAGGCCGTCCTAAGACACACCAAAAGTGTCCCCTGGAGGATGGAGACATCACATGTCCAGGCTAGCTAAAAGCGGTTCTGGGTTCTATCTCTGCCTGGCTACTTTCTTCTTGTTAAAAATCATTGAGAGTTCTGGGGCGCCTGAGTGGTTCACTCAGTTAAGCCTCTGACTCTTGGTTTCTGCTCAGGTCATGATCTCTGGATCCTGACATCGAGTCCCAAGATGGGTTCTGCATGCTGAGCGCAGAGTCTGCTTGAGATTCTCTCTCCCTCTCTCCCTCCCCTCCATGCACGCTCTCTAGAATAAATAAATGAATCTTTAAAAAAATCATTGAGAGTTTTAAATAAAGAGATTGCACGAAAACCAAGAAAGGACACACTAAGATCAGCCAGGGTCTCCTACCACACCTCTGGCAGACTCCATGGGTCTCTCCCTGCCCAGGCCCCATCCTTGCCGTTGATGGACCAGAGCCCTAACTCTGGGGAGATCTATTTTCTGCTGCTGACCTGATGTTAGGAGAACTATTACTCCTTTTAGAGGGTCTGGTGGTTCCCAAAAGTCCAGGGACAGTGAGGTCCACCTTGTCTTTGTCTTCCTCCCTTCTTTTGCCCAAAGCCTAAGTCATTGCAATTTTGTTCATACAGAGTCTTTATAGGTCAATTTTGCAATGTATCAAAAGTACAAGTCTTTTATCCACTTTTGGTAAATTTTAGAATAACAACCCCAGGTCAGGTGCATGGGGCCTTCAGCATTTGGCAACAGGTGAAAGTGTTTAAGAAAAAAAAAAAGAACTACAAACTACAAAGTGCACCTAAATATCTATCAGACCTACACTTGACTGCAATAGCCGAGAGCCATTACAGGAATTTCAGAGCTCCTTCCTCACTACAGTATCCAGATGCCAAGTGCAGGACTACGGGACCTTCTTCCTGACCATGGGGTCAAAGCGAGGCTGCAGGGTTGTGGGACCTAGTTCCTGTGTATCCTCAGTGTAGGATGAAGAACTCAAGGTCTCAGTACCTGCATTAGGCCAGCAAGAAGAGGGACTTATATTCTTTAAGTAACTGTTTTATTGTGTTATCACAGACACATGGTCACATTCACCTTTCTAAAGTGTAAAGTTCAGTGTTTTTAACACATCCACAGGAGTTTGCAACCATCACCACTCTCTAGTTCCAGGACGTCCTCATCACTCCCGAAAGAAGCCCCGTGCCCATTAACAGTCACTCCCCATCCTCGACCCCTCCCCCGCAGCCCCTGGCAACCACTAATCCACTTTCTGTCTCTATGGATTAGACAAGGATAATTTTGCAAAAAGAAATTCTACCAGTCTGGAAAGGCATGTATAAATGAGGAATGTGGGAGTAAGGCCTGAATACACTCTCTCTGTGAATCAACATGTTCCCTAAAAGACACAAGGAGAAAATGTCACCAGGGGGCCAGAAGTAGGGGATGAAAGCTCTTCGGACACTGGCCTTCAGCCCAGAGCATATGTTTTAGAAACCAGCATCCTTTTTCTTTTCAGAGTTTACAGATTTGTTTTTAAAATCGCCTCTGACCCCTCTGTGGGCTGTCTGCATCTGTGGGCGTGAGGTGGCCCCCAGCATGGCAGAGGCAGTGGCTCATTTCAGCCCTACTCCATTAGATGCTAACATCTGGGTGGCTTGGCACCCAACATGGTCAATGGGGAGGCTCCGCATGGCCATCCCTCTTTGCTCTCTCCCCAGCCATGAGCACCCAATCTGAAATCTGATGGCCAGCTTTCGTCCTGGTGCTTTGCCAAGTATGATTTGGATTTTAATGCCTTTAAAAGGTTGCTGAGGTCAGAAAATGCCATTTTGTTTTCTCTAAACTACAAATACTTTTTAATTTAGCCGATTTTTATTTTTATTTATTTATTTTTAAAGATTTTATTTCTTTATTTGACAGAGAGAGACACAACAATAGAGGGAATACAAGTAGGGGGAGTGGGAGAGGGAGAAGCAGGCTCCCTGCAAAGCAGGGAGCCCGATGCGATGTGGGGCTTGATCCCAGAACCCTGTGATCATGAACTGAGCTGAAGGCAGACACTTAATGATTGAGCCACCCAGATGCCCCTGAATTTAGCCTATTTTTAACACCAAATCTTGCCATTATTCCATTCTTTACAAGCCGAAACTCCTAGCAATCACAGCTTTGGGTTTCTAATGAGTGTTTTCTTGATTTACAGCAGAAATGAGCAGTTATCTGCTAATAACCCATGAGTCTGAAATTAAAAGGGATACAGAAAATAAACCAAATTGCAAAGATCAGCTCTTGTTAAATAAAGTCTTTGTGAAAAGACATATAACAACATTTTCATGCATCAGATCAACGACATGATAGACTCATCATTTGAGGGCTGTAATTATTTAATACCACTTAGCAGTTGCAGAGCACTCACCCTGTGAACATTTAATGGACATTTGTTAATTAATTCTCAGCAGAGCCCATCCGGCTACTTTATACACAGAGAAACTGAGGCAGGGGGAGAGGTGACAGGCCCTTGGGTGCCCATGGCTTTCTCCCTCCTGCTCCTTACGATGTCATCAGCTCATTCCTGCCTGGTGATTTATAGTGGCCGGGTTGGCAAGATTGCACTGAAGAAATGCATAAACAAAAGCATTGTTAAAGGAATTATATTCCTGCTGCCTGTGACTTTCCTACAGAGTCAGATGTCAGTTATATTCCATCCACCAGGAGAAAAAGAAGAATACTCAAGATAGTCTGAATTAACTCTAAGTTAATGAGAACAGTAATGATGAGTTCCAGAGTGGCAGCAGTAGAAATCTATGGAGAGAGGTGGCAGGTTTACAAGAAGAAATTACACACTGGTTAGAGTCATTAGCACAAGCTGGAGCCTACCAATATCACTGTGGATGATGGTGAGGATGGAGAGGGGATATTTATATTTAAACATAAATCACAAGTTCCCTTACCTGCTTCCCATCCCAGCAGCCGGGTGTCCCCGGGCCCCCCTCACGAACATGAGGGACTGCTCTTGGTGGCTTGCTGTTGTCCTCATTAGAAGAAAGAGCTTTCATTTCCAGAGACACAAACAGCAGTGCAAAAAGGACCGTAAGCCTGGGAGCCCCAGGGATAGGACTTCTGTCCCAGGAGCACAGTTGCCCAGCCCGCTGGGCTCACTCACCCTGGTGGGGGTGGACTGGCCCCTGCAGAGCTCTTCTAGCCCCACTTCCTCCCCAGGTTCAGAACCTCTTCATTACCTTCTCTGGCTCTGGAACGAGTGTCCCACACTCCCACACACCATTTAGAGTGTCCCATGTGCAGAACAGGCCATTCTAGAGACAGCAGGAGGCACGGCCTAGGTCCCTTTATCTTGATTAGGCTGATTAGATGCTGTATGCCCTATTTGATTCTTGGGACCAATAAGAAGTGGGATGTGGGGTGAGAACCAGTCCACTCCTTCTCTGACCAGTCAAATGGGCCAGGGTGAGTTGTCAGAAGAGGCTCACAGAGCCCCAAGTGTCCTCAGGGGATCCCAAGGCCCAGTGCATTCCAGAGCAGAGGCTCCACTGTGCCCTACTCACAGGCTTTCTCATACTGAAAAGCCCACCTTTGCTTTCACCAATGCAATTAAAGAACAATGCATGTGAAAGACTGGGCACTCAGCTTGTTTACACTGAAGTGTGAGCTCAGGGCTACAGACAAGGGCTCCAGCCTAGAGGTGGCAAGCCTGCCCTGAACCATGAGGAACTTCGTCAATAGTGACCTATGGCTTTGTTTCCCCTCCAGCTCACTGAGAACAGCCTTCTAGTAGAGCGGAGTTCTGTATGATGGGGGAAAAACTACAGACTCCAAGACAGAGACCACCACCTTGATCCAACACCCTGGAACGCTGACCAGATACAAAGAAAAGGGACACCTGTGCCTCCTGGAGGGTGGAGCCTATGGCCCATGTCTGAGAACACATCATCACAGAAGCATGAACGAGCACGAAGGGAAGCAGTTTGCACTAAGTGGCCAGGAACTGTCTGGGAAGGAGGACTACGCTGTCACACTTCAAGGACGAGTGCCAGCAAACAGTGCAGGAGAAGCTCCTGCTTGCTTCCAAACCCAGGGGTCAGAGCCATGCAAGCGGCCTCATTGCCCTCTGCCTGGCCTGTAAGAGGGCCCCAGCCCCAGTCAGCACATTCCACATCATAAGCACCCCATGCCTCCTCAATCTCTGCAGCCAAGGCTGCCAGGACTCAGGTGTGTAGGCTGGGTTAGTGCTTGTGGCTGGAAAGAGGTGGCACGCCTGTGGCCCAAAGGCACCTCAACGGGATGGCGTTTCAGAGGACTCGTCATGGGCCTCAGGCTCTGGGGAGGCAGGGACTGGCTATGGCATGGGTACTGTCAGCAAGCGGGGATCATTCCACACTGGGGATCTTGGTAAATCTTACCCAAAAGGGAAGACCAGGCCCAGCTGCCGCCTGCAATTGGTCCTGTCCACCAGGGGAGGGGATGTTTGGTCCTTCTGGTTTGCACAGTGATGCTGTTTTTGTTTGTGCTGAGACAAGATTATGAATTTCCCTTCATTTCAACCCAGAGGGTGACTGTCCGGTGCGGTGCTCTGTGAAGCTGCTGACATCCAACAGAACAGCACCAAGGCCTCCTGGGCGGCCCATCCCTGGCTATCGGGGGCTGCTTGTCCTTTTACCTCTCAGGGAAGAATGCACTTCTGGACTCAGTGTCTCCTAAATTTCAAATTTCAGTTACTCAAGCCTTGGGTTTCATATCCACACACCCCTGTTTACTTTACATTTCTCTTTAAATCTACTTGAAATAGAATCACTGTTTAGGGGCACCTGGGTGGCTCAGATGGTTAAGCATCTGCCTTCAGCTCAGGTCATGATTCCAGGGTCTTGGGATCGAGTCCCACATCAGGCTCCTGGCTCAGCAGGGAGCCTGTTTCTCCTTCTCCCTCTGCCTCTCTCCCTGCTCATGCTCTCTCTCTGTATCTCTGTGTCTCAAATGAATAAATAAAATCTTTAAAAAAAAAAAAAGAATCATTGTTTAATTCAGCCTCACCCTAAGATTAAATCTATGAAATCACAAGTTCGACATGCCCATTGCTTTTTCGTATACATACACTGAGATAAAGTTATTAAAGTAAAAAGTGCTAGTCCATGTGCCTCCTATAATGGCTTTGCATGCCACCAGAGCATGCCGTCCTAGTGGTGGAAAACCCTGCCCCAGACAGCTGTATGACGGATTCCACAGAAGTGAACCCATCTTTCCATGAAGGCAGCAGCGGCCCCTGTGGTGGAGTAAGCACACAAGTCCTTCAGTCGCTCCCACTGCCGACTGACGCTGGAGCAGCCTCTCAGCCTCTCTGACCCACCCTCTCAACTCTGCTCCAGGGTGAGCTGGCAGTGGGGCCAAAGGAGTTCATAGCGGTAGAGTTGGAAATATTAGTAGTTTTGTTCTAAAGAAAAGTAGAGGGGTTTATGAGCCTTGAGGATATTACGCTAAGTGAAATCATAAATTTGTGAAATTTGTCACCAAAGGACAAATGCCATATGAGTCCACTCACATGGGGTTCTCTGATGAGTCAGACTCCCAGACACAGAGAGTAAGACGGCAGGGCCGGGGCTGGGGGTCAGTGTAACAGGGACAAAATCTCAGTGTGGGGAGATGGAAAGTTCTGGAGATGGATGGTGGTGACAGTTGCACAACAGTGTGAATGTGTTTAATGTGCCTGAACTGTACACTTAAAAATGGTTAAAATGGTAAATTTTATGCTATGCATGCTTTTCTACAATAAAGAAAAAAACAGGGGCGCCTGAGTGGCTCAGTCAGTTAAGCATCTGCCTTCAGCTCAGGTCATGATCCCAGGGCCCTGGGATCAAGCCCCGCATCGGGCTCTCTGCTCAGTGGAGAGCCTGCTTCTCCCTCTGCCTGCCACTCTGCCTATCTGTGCTCTCTCTCTCTCTCTCTGTCAAATAGATAAATAAACTCTTTAAAAAAAAAAAGAAAGAAAGAAAAAAACTGTAGAGGGGAGGGATAAAGAAGCCGGTGATGGGTACATGGGGATTCCTGCTAAAGCCTCTACTTTTGTTCATAGATGAAATTTACCATAATAATTTTTCCCATAATAATTTTTGAGATTTCTCAAGTTTCCCCCAGGAGCAGCTGATGTCTTTCTCCACAGAGGGGAGCCCCTCCAGGGCCAGGGGCTCAGAGGCCTCTGAGCAAGGGCAGC